TGCTCAGAAAGTCTGTGGTCTGGTGAGGAGCTTTAATCACAAATACCATAAGAAAAGGTGGATGAGAAGTGATGAGTGTGGGTGTGGCCAGATGTAAGCATCCAGGTCAGAATGGCAGGGCCTAAGGTTTGTGTTTTTTTTTTTTTTTGTGGGGGGTAGAGGGGGAGCAGTACTGGATTTGAACTCAGGGCCTCATGCTTGCTAGGCAGACACTCTACCACTTGAAGCAGTCTACTAGCCCTGTTTTGTGTTGTATGTTTTCATGATAGGGTCTCCTGAACTATTTGCCCAAGTTGGCTTTGAACTGCAATCCTCCTGATCTCTGCTTCCTGAGTAGCTGGGATTATAGGACTGAGCCACCAGCTCCAGGCATGTGCCTGCCTTTGAGAAAGTCTGTCTTGGTGGTTGGTGGTCCTGGAGACCACACATTGTAGTTGGATGCAGAGTCCATTCCTGCTTTTTTTGGATCTTAAGGACTGGTATCTAGGGTCATCTTTCAGAGTCACTTTGTGCTGTTTTGATATTCTTTGTTTTGGTGTCCTTGGGCACTTTGGGAGATTGAAAGGTCATTTAAACTGTAATAGCCTATAATTTACTGTTTGGATTTTGTAAATTCTCTCCTGTCAGTCATAACTTCTCAGAGCTGTCATTGTGCCTTGATCTGGCAGCCATCCTCCACCCTCTTAATTGCAGATAGCCTGGGAAACCAAATAGTCCTTCCTATTCCAGTTGAATCCCAAAGGAGAATAAAATAGCTAAAAGGAAGGTCCTGGGAAGAGGTATTTAGCAGAGGTGGGGGAAGTTGGGAAGTTCTCTTCTGAATCACTGAATTTAGTGGCAGACTTTTGCAGCTCCAAAAATTTGTTTGCTGCTTGGTTTTTAGCTGTCTTCTGAGTTAGATGACCTTAACACCTTATGACTCTGTCTTTTATGCCTCCTCAGTTTTTTTCCACTAGCAGCTAAATCATTTCTCTCACCCTTGGGTAAATCAACTGTGTTATGGAAAAGAGAAAATGAAAGTTTTCTGAGGGAAAATGAGAAGGTGACTGAAAGGAGGGAAACCTAAGACAGAGACAAGGGCTTATTCTGTTAGTTAACCACTTTCTGGATACCTTGAGACCCATAGAACATTTCTAATGATGACATGGACTCCTGCTATCAAGAAGCTTAGTGTATTGCTGGGGAAGAGAACTAGCAGACCTGAAACTAGCATGTGGAAAGAATGTCTTTGCATCTGGTGTAACTTCAGAGCAGTGATTTGAGTCAGGAACTTTGGACTGCGTGGCATTTGAGTAAAGGAGCATGCTATCTACATTGGAGACATCTGATTGGGAGACTCAGGAGAAGGAGGGTGAGTTCATGAAACCACAGCTAGGAAGTGGCAGAGGTTAGGGAGAGACTTATCACGTGTGGGGAACCCATTTCAGAGGGAGAATTAATGAGGGTTTGTGACTGCTGTGTGTGCTTGATTGAAATGCAGTCTCTTGGGCTGTGGGTGTGGTGATTGCCTGTGGTTTGGGGTAGGGCCTGAGAATGACCCAGGTCACTCTGGTACAGGTGTGAAACTAGTAAGGGATTAGCAAGGCAAAGATAATTAATTCCCCAGGAAAAACAGGAATCGGGAAGGAGACAGCCAAGCTGAACAGCCAAATGCTTGTTACTCTTAGATAGAGACACCTAAAGAGCATGTAATCCTAAGAATTAAGGAACCATAGGAATGACAGCTGAATTCGCAACTCAGCTGGAACTAGTAGTCCTATTCCCTCACCCTTAATCACAGTGATAAACACAGTGGCCTAGTAGATTCTTCACATACGAAAACCATCAAGGTATTGTCACGTCTCACGGAATAAACACTCAAGGGTAGGGATGTTCTGTACAGATGAGCTGTGGATTGCAACTATTGCCCTTATGTCCACCTGCCAGAGCAACCAAATTTAGTGACAGGTGCCATGTAGGGCTTTCTTAGGGAAAGACCAGTTCTGTTCCCACTCTTGTCTTCTCCTTCAGGCCACATCCTGCACCTATTCCAGTGATTATCACCTTGGTATTTACTTCACTTGCCTCTGTCTCTCTTTTCCTGATCCATTTGTTTCCCCTCCTTCAAACTTTTTAGAAGCATAAATATTTCCTAACCACCCCTCAAAGGACAAGAAATACACCCTGTCTCAAGTGAGTGGAAGTCTTGCAAGATTGACGTGGAAATAGATATTTTCAGTAATACTCTGCAGCTGAGTATGGTGGTACACATTTATAGTTCCAGCTGCGTGGGAGGCTGAGGCTGGAGGATCACTTGAGCCCAAAAATTTGAGATCTACATGAGCAACATAGTGAGACACCACCCCCATATAAAAAAATAAAAAGCTGTTTGCCAATGAAGCCCCAAATGCCTGACATAAGTCTCTTCTTCTGTATCTTTGTCTGTTACTGAAGTCTGGTCTTTATTAAGCACCAGAATTCAAAATGAAAATACAAAAATAAGAGTTTTTTTTTTTTTTCCTTTAATTTGCCTTGGTTTTGTTTTCCCTGGTGCAACTGACATGAACTGCTTCATGAGCTCAGATCAGCTGGTAGTCCCTGAGTGGTCATCATCCTTGTTGTTGAACCTTTCTGGGCCTCACATTCAGAGCTGCCGGAGGATTCGTACATTGTCACTTGGTACCGATGATGACATGCTTTGTTCATGAACACATACAGTAGTCTTTGTCTTGTGGTCTGAGCAGGCCTAGTGCCAGGTTCTTAGGATAATATTTGAGCAAAAACAGTTTTTTGGTGAATACTTATTTCTGTTGGATAAACAACTTTGAAGTCTCTCTTCCTTCTTGAAAGTGGTGACCAGGAGATAAGCACTAATGATTCTTTTTTAAGGAGTCAATTGGAAATTAGATCTGAAAATAAAAGGGTAGTGAAGAGTAGCTGGTGTCCTCATTCAGCTAACCTCTATAGTTTTGTGTTTTAATTTCCATGAAAATTCCTCCAGTAGGCATGTTTTGTCAGATTTTATGTTTTACATGAGAAAATTCTCTGGTGCAATGCTTGTTTTTTCAAAACTTTTTTGGACCTAAGTATTGGTTTGTGTATTGCAAAGATCTTTGTATGGAGGTTTTTTTTCTAATCCAAAACTGGTTCTGAGGAACAGAAAAAAATGAAAACTTAAGGCATACTTTTTCTTCTGAGTTCAGTAGGCAATCTGACTGTAGTTATAGTAACTTCTCAAACACCAGAATTATTCTGGTCTCATTGACCTCCGTTTTTCCTTTCTGTAATTATGGAATAAGGCCCTTAAAACCCATGTAGGACCAAATACAGAATCTAAACTGTGTGATCTCATCACCACAAAAACAGGCAGTAAGGACAGTCCTCTTCTCACAGGAAGCTGTTTTCCCTTGGGACCTCTGTAATTTCTAGTGGTGCCTTTGTAGTAGTCTTAAATTCAGAAAGGATGTTTTTCCCTGGCCCTTACAGAAGTAGTGTTACAAATGGGTTGCTCTGGGAGGGGCAGAGGCCAGAGAACAAGTGTGTGTGTACATAACCTGTTGAGGTCTGATGTGAATGACACAGACATCCATGGGACCCCCACCTGGGGCAGAGGGTCTTTTTGGCAGTGAGCCTCGATGAACATTATCTGATACTTGTCTGTGGGTGTGGGGCTGCCACAGAAGAAGCCTGCCTTTTCTGTGGAGGTGTGCAGTGTGAAAGGGGGCTTGGCTGAAGAATTTGCAGCAGCTGGGAGATGAGCTCTTCCTGGCTTCCATAGCCTTCAGTGCACAGAGGAGGACATCCTGGGTATTTGAGCTGCTATTCACCAGGTGGTGCTGTCCTGAGTGAATGCTTGAATATGATGCCAGTGAACTCTTGTCCAGTGTAGGTACAGCCTGGGTGATCAGAAGCCCCACAGCATTTGTGTGCTGTCACTGAACATGAGCTGAGGTCTTTTTGAGGGTATTTGATATGGGGGTGACCATCTGGCCTCTGGAGGGTTCTGTTCTGCGTTCTGCTCCAATGAGATCTTAGCTGTCTTTGAATGGGGGTGGTAGGGATCAGAGCTGACCCCTGATCAATTCCTGGTTTCCTTCCAGAGAAAAGCTCCTGCATTCTGTTCCCATCTTTGAAGTCCTGGTGGGTAAAGGGGTGGGGCATGTCTTCTAGCTCCTCATTATACAGACTTAAAGGAAAGAAAAGGCCTCCACCCAGCCTCTGCATGCACAAACCTATCAGTAACCTGTGCCCTGCCAAGGTGGTTGTGTTGGTCTAAACGTGACTACACACGATGCCATTGCTGTGAGGGGATTTGACATGCAACAGAGCCTGGTTGTTGGTGTGTTTGAAAATGGACAGCATCCTTGAAAATTAATATTTTCCAGGCTAGTGGTAGCAGCAACAAGAATGTTTCCCAAAGATATAAGGTCAATCACGGGGAACCTCGTGGGAATCCAGGCAGCAAGCATGCACTGAGCATCCATCTGTCTCTACTTGTGAGAAGAGCAGGAGAGTAGTGGCAGGTCACACTTGCCCTGGAGAAAATGGTAGGAGAAGAGGGCAAGGTCCAAGGAGACAAACGCTAACACACATTAAGCAGCCAGGTATCTTGAGTGTAGAGGAAGCATGGGGGAAGTTCTGTGGGGGTGGGATAGGTCTGCAGGTGGTATTTGATCTGTGTCTGGAGGATGACTAATCCTGAGAGTGGGAGAGAGGCATTTCAGAATGAGGTATGTTTGGGAATGGTGAGCTTAGAGAGCTGAGACTCAGGAAGAGTGAAACAGGAAATGCAGAAAGGAGATAGATGGTCAGGAGGACTCTGCACCTTAAGGGTCTGAGTGGCTCTTGGCTCATTATCTTATACCTTGAAAGTGAAAACACTTCTCTGTGGATTGGGCTGCAAACCCATTCACATCACACAAAGAGAACCTGGGGTAGTGGAGTAAAGCAGACACTTCTAGTACCTTGCCCAAGACACAGGGCTTCCAGTGTTCCACATCAGCTTGCACAGAGGGTGCCGGGGAAGCACTGAGTCTGTTGGTCACTAGCTGCCCTCCTTTTCCCAGACCTGAGTGTATGTTCTTGTTGATGTCTTCGCCTCTCCCTCATTGCTGCTTTGGGATTTTCACGGCACTCAGGGCTGGCTTTATAAACTCTGTGCTGCTTATCCCGTGGGGTGAGCCTACTGACATGGTTTCTTTTTTTCCGGTTCTCTTGCCAGCCTTCTGCATTCGACTTGTCTGGAGGAACTTTCCAGGTGCTCAGAGTGAGTGAGACAGCCATTCTCTGTTGCAGTCAAGTGGAGCCCGGGGTGAGGTGAGGTGAGGTGAGGTGAGCAAGAGCAGGGAGATGTGCTAATGCAGAATCTACATTCTGACCACCCGTGTGTTCTCAGATAGGGTATTTTCTGAAAATTCTGAGGGTTTGGAAAGTGAAGCAGGTATTTATTCAAAGAGCATCTTACTGTTAAACTCTTAATAATATGGAAGATTTAGTAGATCCTTTTAAAGCTTTTCTAATTTTATAGACTTGTGCTCATTTCTGAATTTTTCATCTTTTTATGGTGTCTGGTAGTTTATATACCTAGAAATACAACTGAGTGTTTCATTATTTTGTTTAAACAGTTTTGCTGTGTTGCCTAGGCTAGAATTGAACTCTTGGGCTCGAGTGATTCTCCCACCTCAACCTCCCAAATAGCTAGGACCAAAGGCAAGCATCATTGTGCCAACTTCAAATTTTTAATAAAGTTAAACTGGTTATCTCTTCTATATCACTGTCATTCACCTGCCCCTAGATCCCCATGATAACTTTGTCAGGTTTAATATAAGCCTCCTTCTGGCTTCTTGGAGACAAATAAGGGAATGTTTACAACTGCCTTACTTCAAATGCTCTTCATAGGTTGACTTTTGGGATCCTGTCTGTTAAAGTTTGCTTTGGTCGTCTCTTGCCCTGTCTATACTCTGTCCTATTAACTCCATCTGAAGCAGCCCTCCCCCACTGGGGTTTCAAGAATGATTTTCTAGTTGTGTGGCATTAGGAACTTTAAGAAAATCTCTAAACCTATGCTATGGTTTTCCTGCACTGCAGTCTATGTGTGAATTGTGAAATCAAAATACGTATTTCAAGAGGTTGAGGGGAAGCTGAGGCTCCTATTGGTGAGGTCTTTCATTTGATCATCTTTCTATTTACATTTCCTTTTTCCAGTAGGTAGTATGTAGTAGGTCTCAGGAATTCCCTGCTTAACTTTAAAGATAGAATTGCTGAGACTGGGCCTCCAACCCGATATTAGGTGAGTGCAGCAAAGAGGACTAATGTCAGCTATGCTCAGCTGTCTGCATGAGGTACCAGCAGGGATCCCCTGAACATCTGGCACAGAATGGTTTATTGGGGGCACTGAAGTCTCTGACCGGGATCCTTCTCTGTGGGTGATGAAAATAATCCTCTATAGGAGTTGGGGGTTAGGGTTAAAGCTGCTTCCAGATCTCTGTGGGTTGTTGAAACGTCCATGTGATATGTGCACTGCCACCTGCCCTGTGTGACTTGCCAGTGGGATTTCACTTTCTGTGCTCATCTTCCTAGTATTCCCTGCTTAGCCATAAGGAATGTAGCCGTAAATGGCTATGTTGCTCCCCAAACTTTGCAGGGGATTCTGCCAAAAAGGCAGAGCTTCTCAACAGCGGTATGGCAATGGAGTGCCTATCAGAATCTCCTTTGGAGTGTTAAAAATTCTAGTGTGCTGTATTAAAAATTGAGGTAGGAGAAGTCACTGCCAAATGTGTTTTTAAGGCTTAACAAAAGGTGATGGTGTGTGTCCATAGGTAAGACTGATAGCAACATATCAGATTAGTGATCAAAAGATCCAAAGAATACCTACAAAGAGTAAGTGGTATTTTTAGAGGAACATATCTCAGAATTCTCAAATATTCAGACCTTTTGCTGTATATGAATGACTATTCTAGATATGAATATTTGGAAAACATTAATTTAAAAGAAATATTTGTATGTGGAGTTGACTTAAAAACAAAAAATGCTTTTGTAGCCTGAGCAGATGTTTGGGAGAATTATTTTGAACTTCACTAACTAGTTTAACCAGTGTATACTGCCAAGCCAAACATTTCCTTGTTGTGCTATATAATATGTGTGGTAGAACTATTTTATAACTTAAAATTGCATGGAAAAAACAGTTTTTATTATTATAACTGTACAAAGAATGAGAAAAATGATGGAAGAGTAATTTACTAAATTCAGCATGAGTTTCGTTTATTTAGAAATCCAGGTGAAAACCTGCTTAAATGGAACTTTGCAAGAGATTTGCAAATCAAGCCTTTCTACCTGTGGCAATACATTTCTCAACTAACATTGAAGTAGCAATTCAAGTGTATTGCCCTTAGAGATCAGTTGGACAGGAAATTTATTTATTAGTAAGCTGTTGGTTTTTTTCTCTTCCAGGTTTTGTGAGCCAAGGAATTAGTTGATTTTTCTCCTTCGCTGGAATCAACATCAGGAACTAAATAGGAGCTTAAGAGCAAAGATCATGTTAAATGATTTTGCGCTTTTTTTCTTTTTCCGCTCTCTTTTGCAAATTCCCTTTCTGTGAAAGACAACCTTGCAACCCATTGTTGTCTGAGGTTTTATTAATTTCGGGGGACTGGAGAATGCTGAGTTTTAGTTTTAGAGAATTTTAATTTCAGAGTGAACTTATGGATGGCCTATCATCTGTTTTCCACTGCCTTAACAGAAGTTGCTCTTGTTATGGTCACAAATGGCCTCTGATTGTTGAACCCTGTAGTCACTTTGTAGCCCCTGAGGAGACTTTCCTGTAACACTGAATGCTCCTGAGTATTCCTCTTTGAAAATCTTCTCCCTGGGATTTCTTTGCACATTCCTGACTGTCTTGCTTTTCTTTCTCTCATTTTCTCCTGAGTCCTGCTGTGTCTGCAGGACAAGTTCATCCTTGGTGGTTTTCTTTTAGTCTGCTCAGGCCTTTTGAGGAATTCAGTACTTCCCACTTCTGCCACCACCCACATGATAATGACCCCCTAAGCTTTCTGAGTTCACCCTCATCTCAATCTTTTGGACATTTCTACTTGGATGACTCATAGGTACTTTTAACTCAGGATATCTGAACTGAACTCATTTCCTCCCTAATTATCACCTGCTTCCTGCCCCACTCCAAACCCTTCACGCTGATGTTTCTGTCAGCTTTTCCCATTTTGGTGTTTGGCTCTACTTTCTACCCTGTCTCTGAAGCCAGGAATTTGTGACTCATCCTTTTCTCTCCCTCAGTCATCCCTATACTTTGATTGGTAATTAAGTAATACCATTTTAATATCTTAAATTAGAAAAAGAAAGATATCAAAGTTATTGTACCAACCTTCAGTTATTATGAGTTTTAGAACTTACAGGTGGGTCTATATAAGCAGGTAAAATGAGACAATTAAGACCATTTGTTTCATACATATAATGCCAGACATAGTCCTAGGCACTTGTAATATATTATTTCTATTTTTCACAACTATTTGGAGTTATCTAGGGGTTAGAGACAGTAAGTACAGGCCTAGGATCACAGGGCAAGTAGAGGGTAGTGGAGTGGGATTTAAACTCAAGGATTGGTCTGCCTGACTCTAAAGCCTTTGCTTCTGGTATTGTGCCACCCTGTCTTGCTCTGTTTCTAAAATGCTATAGTGCTGTTTTAGACCTCTGTTAAGTTAGTTGACTTTGAGGGCAAGAGCTGGGTCTTACTCAAATTTTCATCTGTCAAGATATTTTTTCTTATGAAATGAGCATGGCTATGATTTGGATATGGTTTGTCCCCCTCCAAAAGTCTTGTTGAAATTTGGTCCCCAACGTAACAGTGTTAAGAGGTGGTAGGACCTCTAAGAGGTGATTAGGTTGTTAAAGGGGAATTAATGCAGGTTAAAAGGGAATTGGATTAGTTACTATAAGAGTGTATTATGAATTGAACACTTGTTGGCTTTTCCTCCTCCTTTTTCTCTGCATTATGATGCAGTATGAGGTGCTCTCCAGATGCTGCTGCCTGATGTTGGACTTCTAGCTTCCAGAAGAATGAACTCAATATACTTCTTTCCTTTTTAAATTACTGGGACTCAGATATTTTGTAATAGCAACAGAAAATGGATTAAGGCAGGTGCTAAAGATGAAAAAGTGTGGTCTTTGTTACTTAAGGCTTCAACTGAGTTCAAGCCCTGGTCGTCTCTTCATTGTGTATTGGCTGTGTGACCTGAGACAAGGACAGTGGGATCATGCCTTTTGCCATTACAAGATTTTTATGAGAATCAATGAGATGGTATGAAGGACAGTATCTTAAAACTCAGAGACAAGTTAGTTCTGTTTAGTTGTGGGAATTGAGAATTGGCCAGCTCAGATGAGCCTCTCTTCTTTGTTTATAAATGACTGTGTGTGAAAAATATAAACTCTCCTAGATTTGTAATGTTCATGCTAACTGAATTGGTCACATGCAGGCAGTAGTAAAGGCAGAAAAGACTTTCAAATAAAGACCTTATTAATAAAGATAGTATACACAGTGCTTAGTAAAACTGTTTAGAACAGAGCAGGATATGATCTACAAAAAAGATGGTTTGTAGGTGTGGGAAGGCAGCTTCAAACAGAATCATCTTCAGAAGTGCAGGCCTAAGTCTTCCCATGGCTGGCAGTTACTGAGCAGCCTTTAAACCATTTGGGGTGCGTGTTGCAAGAGGAAGGCCTCATTTTCACACCACTTAGTAATGCTACCTTATTGGATAATAAGACCCCGGGCTCTGGCAGCTTCCATTCATTTGGCCCTTACTCAAATTGCCTGCTCTACTTTGTAAGGGTAGGGTATACTTCGCTTTGTTAATACTTTATGCTATCTTAAAAAAAAAAAATCTGAAGTTTTCTTCTGTTAAATTGATCTTGAGGATGGATTTGGACATGTTTATGCTGTACCAAAATGAACCTTATTTTTATTTCCTTGTGGGTCTCTCTTTTTGCCCTATTCTGAGGACGTGCCCTTCCCCCCATTAATGTTTCCCCTTTTCCATCATATTTTAGTAACAAGTTTGTCTAAGAACAGCCTCTCTTCCAATATTTATGAAAATCCAATGTGTCATTCCCTATGCCTTATAAAATTGTTCATTTGGGGGCAATACAAGTGCAGGGTTGTTTTGACGGCAGCCTAACAGGATGTAGGTCCTAGGTGAATGTCAAGTATAACTTTCCAAGCTTAGTTATTAGAGGCCTAGATTTTTAGATTTTGTAAGGGCTATGCAGCTCCATGATGAAAAAATCAAGTAAAGTTTGTGTGACATGTGAGGAGAGGAAGGTGGTTC